GGCAAGACAGACAGACAAGGCATAGGTCACCGCAGCTTTTCTGTGCACATCTCTGTTTGACTGGAGAGGAAAGAAAAGCACAAGAAAACCAGGCTATTGCTTTTTGTTCATCCCATCTTAAAAAACTATATGCATCAATTTTTTTGAGAGGGAACAGAAAGCCTGATGCTTGTTATAAGGAATTTTCTAAAGCATTTCTGAGAGGTAGGAAGATGAGCTCACACCCTGATTTTCCACAGACCCTCAGAAATAAAACCAAATAGCTTCCACCTGATACTCTAGAAAACATCCTCAAAAGCAGAGGAAAAATTGGGACCATAAGAAGAACAATCTAGCAAGCTGGCCTGTTTGGTACAGTACGTGTAGTTAGTAGCTAAATGATCTGAAGATATCGTTCAGCCGTTTCTTAGAAAAAGGGTATTGGCTTCAACAACATGACTGAGTAGCTTGTTCCAAACTCACACAAAACCTTTGAGTAAATATGCCACCCAACATGCCTCAGGCACAGTTTAAACAGGAAAAGCGCTACTTTAAACTGCTTAGGGGTGTGCCTGAAATCCATTTCTCGAAATACTTGTCTCATGTAACTGGTGATATTACAATGGGCTTTGATAACATATCACTGAGAGTAAATCAGCACCATATTAAAATACAAAAACATTATTTTGTCTTCTGGGTCTTTTTACCAACATGTTAGGATGACCTTGGATAGGAATATGTCTTCTTCATAGACAACATAACATTTATTTTAAGGAAACAAAAAGTGTTAAGCAGAGCCATAGATATGTCTCACAAAATATTACATTATATTGTTACATATGGGGGGAGAGGTTATGAAAATCAGAAAATGTCTGAGCAGATAAATCAATAAGTAAAATATATAATCCCAAATTTGTAAAGATTTTACCAAGAATATACAGTACCCAGGTGGTCGGTATTGTTAGAGGGACACAAGTTCTTTGTTCTCTGGCACAGCTTTGGTCAAAAGAGTAATAATTCAGGCACATTGGATTAAACAAATATTTATTTAAAAAACACAACACACACTAAAAGTACAAAATACAAGTTACTGTACTTACACTTTTACAGTCAAGGCATTCCAGAGGCCTACAGTATGTCTAGTCCACCCATAAAAACCCCAGACTGCTACCAAGTATTCAAACTCCTACAAAGGCAAGAATAGGATAATTCTAACTTGTTAACTAAATCAAATACAACCTGAGGTTTATTATCTCTCTGTAAACCCAGACGCTATCAAATCAATGGAAATCTATATCCGTATTCCTGAAATGCGCCCAATAACCAGGAGAAGCAGTTTTTAACCGAGGAATTCTTCACTCAGACAATAAGAGTTCCCTAAAAACACAGAACAGCAAGCTCTCTTAGCAAGGTTCCAATACCTAGCTCCAATCTGCTCTTCATGGAGAATCTGGACAAAGATCTGTCGTCTGAAACACGCTTTATGTTCTGTGCTGCCCTGTCTTCTCCTCTGTCTTTTTATTATAGACCTTTTACATTCTTAATCGTTTACCCAGAATTTAGTACAACTGAGGCAAACCATATGATTCTTTTGATCAGTGTGCCTTACACCCAGCACAACTGGTCTGAAGCTCTAGGAAGTGGAAATATTGACACTAGTTGGTGTTACTCATTGTATCTAGACTCTTAGAAACACTTCCATACTGTAGTCACTTACTGTACCATAGCCTGTAACAATATTATACAAGCATCATTCATTGAATGCATTTTTGTAGTTCGTGATCCCATAACAGGGGAGAAAACTGAAACTGATTACTGTGATAGCCAGATCCAGTGTACACTATTACCACCTGATTTTACTACGCAATTTATTTTT